GATATGTCGAGGCACGCAAGGCGGCAGCCATAGCAGTGGCAAAAGCCAAGGCTGATTCCTGGGAAAAGTTTGGCGAGGTGATGGAGTCGAATTTCCACAGGGCAAGCAAGATATTCTGGCAGACCATCAATTAGTAGTGTTGCAGATCATAGGAAATTTCGATATCGTCAATTCTGCAATGAAATTAGTGGACTTCCAACAACTGAAGGTATCCTGAACATGGCAAGCTTTGTTCTCAAAAACCTATTCCTCATAATACTTCATTCCATATCCATCGTCGAGATTCTCACATTTACAATATCAGTTGAGAAGGAGACCCTTGCCTTCTTTAAAGAGTACATGGAATACATAGTCGCCGTTTTCCTGAAGAGACGAAAAACCTGATTCCAGAACCACCGAAACTTTCCGCTTCTAGCCGAAATCATTTCAGGTGAAAGTTCACGATAACACAGACTAACTTCTAGACGTCCGGGTACATCGACGAAGGGGAATTTACAAGACAGAATTCTACCGCAATGCAATTAAGAAGAAACTTTTAAAAGTTATTAGCGAATTTAACTCGATAATAATTGTTATTACAGAAGGTTAATTTGACATTTTTTTATACTTCTTAGGAAATTCAGAGCTTCAGGTCCGTGTATATTAAAGCTGTAACCATGGAAAGTCTACTGTTTAAATACTTATGAGATAAAGCTGAGGCAGTGTTAATAAATTTACGATCAACTTTCGCTTCATAGCAACTCTCAGAGCTAATTATTAAGGAATCAAGAAACGGTAGACTAGAGTTATTTTTAGCTCTTAACTCAAAAGTTTCAGGGAATATGACATTGAGAAGCTTTAGTATCTAGTAAATTATTTTCGTAACTCATAGGAAGTTGAAAAAAATAAATATCATTTTAAATCCTTTAGAAAGGTCTCGGTTCGTGTCTCATGCCACATCTTCATAATGCACCATTAACATTTCTGCAAGAATGATAAAAAGTGGGTTAGCCATGGGTGCTCCTTTGGTCTGTTTGAAGAAACTACCATCGAAGGATAAATAGTCCTCCTTTACCATACAAGAAGTTCATAGCTTTACGATAGAGTAAGCAGAGAGGTCATTCTCTGTTGTACAATTGTATTAGAGTTATCACTTTGAAGAAGTTAAATTATTTTAATAGTAATGTCAACAGGAATGTTAGTAAATAAGTCTTTAACGTCGTAAATGACAATATATATAATTCATTCAGAAGGTTTAATCTGTTTCAGTTCATTGCAAAACTCGTGAGAATATAGAATGGGCCACTTTCAGTTAAAGATCTTAGTATTTTAGTGGTCAGCCTCGAAACCTCTGTGAAAAAAATAGCTCACGGTAGAGCAATACGTCAGAAGGAAATATCAGGTTTATGTGTAAACAGTAAAAGTACGGTGCGCGATGGTTACCGTTGATTTGAGAGATGTTTTCATGAAGCTGAAGAACCTCTAGTTGCCTCGCCCCCAGCAAAGTCAAAGAACAATGCAAAAAGACCTGATTGTGACAACATTTGGACAGGCAAGGACACTTCCTGCGATGACGTGAGCATAGCTGCATCATAAAGAAAATACATTAGCCACGCAGACTAATAAAAATAGGCATCAACCATCCAATCCTGCAAAAATGTCGACCGTTACAAAGGATAAGAACTTCGCGCGGATTGGACGAACCTCGTCGCCTTTGTCGCACAGAAACAATTCAACCAGTAGCATGGACCGGAAGCTTACCTTCTGGCCTAGAAACTATCAACTGCTGCGGACGACGGAGGGCATTCACGAAACTCTACCACCCACCTACCTTAAAGGCTCGTGACACATGGGCCGAAATGTCGGTATCTGTCAAACATTAGAATGACCACACAATCTTTTGCGTAGTGTGTTATAAAACTGTTTAAGTGCTTTTCCTATAAACGGTTTAGTCCATAAAAATGAAGAAATCTCATCAATGAAATGACCAACAGGCAGAAAGGGAAATATCAAGACAAAGTGGAATCGATTAAAACGTGGTCGCCATGAGGAGGTATGAGCAAAAACCTTCTAAACTGGACATAAAATTATTTTGAAATTCTGTAGCATAGCAGCAGAATAATTTGAAGATAGCTGATTCACATAAAATCCAAGGATGGATCTAAATTATTCCTTATGAATCCGGAGTTATAACAGCATCGACGGTGAGATTAAAGATCGCCGTTCGAACTTCACGAGACGAAACGATGACGATCTAAGGGAATGCCGACAAGTTCAAAGGCGGCATGGGGAGCAACAGACGAATGGCCCGACAGAAGTTCAACGGAAGGCGAAACAAATGCTGCAGCCCTGATAGAATATGCTGCATAGGAGGAGCATATGGTTGACTAAACAAATACGCAATGGATATGATACAAAGAAAACTATCAGAACATCAAAGAAGTCCCGTTGATACAAAAATGCAAATGTCTGAACAGAAGCAACTGCCTAAATCAAGTAACTGGTATCGGTAGAAAAGAAAACAATAGAGGTGTTAATGAAGAGGAAGATGAAGAATTCATGTGAGGAGGACTGAATTAAATCAAAATCTGTCAGATCGACAATAATACGTATGAGCATTTTGTTGATTGTACATATATCCCAATATCAATCTATTGTATGCAACCACTTTTGTGACATCCTGCAAGGGTTGCTAAGTAATGTTCTTGGAAGATGGATCTAGGTCGATCTGAAACGTCAGGATTTTGTTTTAAAAAAATTTAATTAATTTCATATGTGGAGCAAATTCTGTAAAGGTTTTGGCGATGACGAAATTTGCATCTGCTTAAAGAATTCAATCAATCTCTTTATAATTGATTATTGCTAATATAGCATGAAGCAGAAGTAAAATATAAGAGGCAGTAAAAGAAGGTGAAGTCTGTGCATTAGCCACATTAGTCAAGAATTAATAATGGAAGCTTACAGGATTAACATTTTTATATCGTGTATTGACATCTACGATAAAATGAACCGAAAGCGCTTTCAGCATAGTAACTGGTTACGTTTAGACAATCATTCATCGAACATTTCTCCATTTTGGGAGAACCACAGGTCCTAGCTGCTTCAGTCACCTTTCTTCTAAAACGATTTTGATGAGTGGTTGAACGTCAGGCTATTTCCCTTGTCTCCACAACCTTTACACATCAAGAAAAGACTCAAAAAACTGCAGAACCTTCTGAGATTCTCGTCAAAGACAGATATCAGATGCCACTGCCGTCTGGAGGGCAATACGCAGACTCAATCTATTCCTTAGTCAACTTCCAGCCCTCACTTCAGCAGGAGATTGCTTAGAGAACATATGATAAAATACAGAAGCATCACTCTGGATAGTATGCAGATAGTGTGTGTACGAGTCTTTTTAACAGAGTTTTACTGCGGTTTCAATCAACTGTTAATTAAATATTTTATTTACAGATAGAAATAGACTAACTGTTCATACGTACAGGATCGATAGCAAAGTATTTAATGAAGATAACAGACAAATGTTCAGCATTAAGCTTTTTCTACTTTTAAACTACGGATCATGTGTAAAAATGAATAAAATAAAAAATATAAAACACCTTGGAAGAAATGTCAACTGCCTGACAAAACAACTGCATATCGATGTGCAAAATCTCCCTAATACATCTGAAATAAAATGGGACGAGCATATTATGTACAGTCGACTATATAACAACTTATACTGATGCCAACATGTGAAACTGTGCCAAGAATGAGGGCATGAAAGGATTTAATTACCAGGCCAAGTTAAAGTTAAAAAAAGTTTAGCGAGGGGAAGGAAACTGATGGTTGCAAAAATTAAATGGTTTTAAACATGATTACAGCAATTTAAATGAGTATCAGAAACAGCATCCGAGTGAGCATCCAAATCAGAAATTGGCCGTCACCTTCCGTCTGGCCATTGAGCGAAACAAGCCCGGTCCCATTGAACCGACGCTTTTCGGGAACTGCTTCAAGTTCCAGATGGTTTTCACCACATATGGCACCAGAGCGACTGACACGAACGTGATGCAGCAGTATTGCGCAAAGGTACCCAGGTAGTACAAGGTCAGGTTGTGTACTGGTCGAGGTATGTGTGAGCACAGCTGGACTAATAGGAGGGAGACCACGGAAGTGATCACCTCACTGCCATCGCGATGCAGGACGCCGGAAGTCTCGATGAAGTATTTCGACTCTACCGCGAAACCAACGCCAATTATGGCGCCACAGTCGCGGAACAGCGCGTTCAGCGGAGTCGTGGTTAAATGCACCCAGCTTGGATCGACGCAATGTTTGAGAGCGAGTTTCACTGACCATTCAGGATCAACGCCGCACAGGATCATACCGTTGTAGACAATCACAGCGAGGATGACCAGACCGAGCACCGTCAGCAGACAGTGCTTCATGCGTAACATCCCCACTTGCAATCGCGTGAACAGCCATCCAAAAAAGAATCCTAAATTTACAGCAATATAAAATAGAAGACAACAACAAAATAATTGTGGAAATTAATAAGTAGCGGAACTGGGATTAATAATAAAAATTGGCTTCTGATGACGGTGATTAGATTAATAAGTGTCACTTCTCTGAATTCACACGAAAAATCTGCAGCATTTACGTACATCTAGAAAAATGAAAAATTGAGACAAGCCAATGACAACTCTGTAGATAAATTTGCGGCACAATATAAGATTAACTTGAAAGGAGAACAGCCCGGTAGGCATAGAAAATAACAGTGCAAACGCTGAAGAAAGCGGCAAAACTGCTTGCCAACCTTGTGGCAATAATATTCATAAAATTAATCAAGAAACAACACAATATTTGAAGAAAAGAGCAGGTTAAACACTCCTTTTAAAAATACTAGACGATGGTGCATTAAACGAGAATAACTAATCTGCTACTGGCATTATCTGTGGCGCATTATGATCATTCCCGACATCATATATCAGGTGACCTCGTTAGTGGGTATTTCTTCAACCAGGGCCAGACATGAAACGTGAAGCGCTAACAGACCTCTTCATCTCTTTAACTCAAATCTGCCTAGAAGAAGGAAATTCATGCCGTTAACTTGAAAGTAAGGAACAGAACCTCTTCCATATTAACTTGCAACAAAAACATGTCAAACTTTCTTCACTATGCGTTATACCTTCAGGACGGAAACTAAAACCAATACCTTGAGACGTTAATAATATCGTCGACAAACCGCAGGTAGTATAAACATTGTCCATTTATCTTCAGATTCTAATTTTCTCAACAAAGTCTGCTGGAAAGTTCTTCGAGGGCTACTTGCATACGTTGGTGGTATCGTATCACCCTGTCAGAGGGCCATTTCGAAATTGGTTTTGTTTGTGCTTTCATAGAGCTTAATATTAGTCCCATGAATCATGGCGATGAGGTCTTTGCATCTTTTCTCGATTACCTCGCTCATCGCGACATCTAGTATAACTCGGCTGCAAACTGAGTCGAAAGCCTTTTCAGCATAGACAAATTCCAGTCAGAGAGAACCTGCCATTCACTACTAAATAACTAATTGTGCAGCATAAAGTTCATGCATTATATCGGCTATACTAAATCCGTTTCTGAATCATGTTTGCTCCCTTGACCGTATAAAGCCAAATCTTTTGAAGCGCGTTTGCCAGTGGCTTCATTAAAAGTTTACAAATAAATTATTCGTTACAGTAAGACACCATAAATCCCTGTTACTCTGCGATGTAAGCGCTAATATCTTCAGATTACGACGACAAACTGGCAACAACAAATTATTGGCAACAAACTTAACAGACGAGTTTGTTAGATCTGTTTGTCTGTCTTTTAGAGTAGCTTCATCACAGAGGATCTAATCGTCTGGAATTTTCAGTTCCTTCAAACAGCAAGAATCCAAGAGTGAAAATATTCTAGCTAATGCTTCACATCCTGACTTCATAAATTCCACCGTAATGCCGTTTTTCCCAGGAGCGTTTCCTTTGCTCACGTGACTCTATTGAATGCTGAACTTCTTGCAGAGAGAAATCGCGCGATTCCTTTGTATTCCATTGCTTACTGTAACTAGGATGTTAACTCTTTTCCATTTTGAACAGTTTTCTATAGAAATCTTTCTATAGATTTCTTACCACTTCATACCTGTTTTGGTGAAAGTTTCGTCTCTGCGTTGAAACCTAAAATTTGCCGTTTCTCAACTTCAAATTTTTCTAGTATCGGTTTCCTTCAACAGTCGCCTTCACAGTTTGCAGCACAATGACCAGGTGCCCCTTATCCGTTTCCTTTAAATTTTGCAAAGTTCCTTCAATCCGAACCTTTGGTTCTGATCTGCTGCTTGTTTTGGTAATGACCTTTTCTGACGCTGTGATTTTCTTTGTTTCTTCATGAGTTCCG